AATTAGGATACATTTTATTCTGACATTTGTTTGCTTGTAGGCATTCGATTTGTTTCAGCGGATTGATATCAATTAGAGAATCATTGAAAACCATCTGAGAATACCAGATAAGTGTTTCACCCTAGTTCAGGAGGCAGTACGGCAGTATGTACCAATCTTGAGGATCCGAAAACACGACCTCCAGCTTACAAGGCAAGCAAACTCCTAGGCCTTTCAACCACTAGGAAGTGGATCTGATTCAATGGCCGATGAATTCTAACTTTTCTACCAGTTCGTGATTCTCCTCAGTGACGACCGCGTGGACCACCACCCGCCCTATCACTACTTCACACTGGAACTCCATGCAACTGTGTCCTGCAATCAGTCGCTTGAGATTATCGGATTAATTTTGAATAGTTAAATTGTGTAGGAATTTGATTTGCTATATTCACCTAATGCTTATGATACATTAGTTGTGAACTGGTAGCAGATTTCCCGCATTTCTGACTACTGTTCATCAAAATGGTGTCCTCACTTCGCTGTTGTTGCTGCTGCTGCTATAGTCTTCATTGTCACCCTGCTATAACCCATCCACCGACTCATCCCCTCCACCCTGATACCCACACCGCTACATTCTATCACATTCACGATTCTTTTCGACGAAATCACCGTCAACCAAGCTGTATATTCGTGTATTTACATCAAATTGATGGGAAAGTGCCAGAATAATCTCCAGTTAATTAGGAATTTAAATGTCATAATAAACAGGGGGATGGATAAAACTCAAACAAAGTAGCATCATAATTACTAAGAAGATTGACATATTGTGCAATTGGGAATTAGAAATGTAGAAATAACAAAAATAGACAGGGTGTTTGGATAAAAAAAACTAATTTGATGAATAATTGTTTACGCAATCATGGCTGTACCATTCGCCAATTTAAAAAACGCGCTCATGAACACTACTCATCCTGGCTAGTAAAAGGAGACCGAAAAAGTGTATACAGTTCAGTGACATCTGGTCAATTCAGGACATTCAGCGTCATTCGAAAAATCATTCAAATTAATATACAAGATTCAGTATAAACCTATCAAAAGGAGTGAAATCAAGATATCTGGGCATAGCCAAATCGCTAGCTATCCGAAAGCCCAAACCCACGCTTTGTATCCAAAAGAAATACATCTAACCCTGTCCCTGCCATGGCCATCATAAACAAGTAAATTTTTTTACTAATGACCATCCCATCGCCTTTCTTATGTAAACTTCCTGTTTAGGCATGTTATTTTAAGTTTGTCTTAATCCCTGTTTGCACTACCATATTTTCATACCCGAACTTCGTGCTTACTTTGTCATTTTACTATTTCTACATTTGTAATCCCTGATTGCGTAAACAATTATTCATCAAATTAGTTTTTTTATCCAAACATCCTGTCTATTTTTGTTATTTCTACATTTCTAATTCCCAATTGCACAATATGTCAATCTTCTTAGTAATTATGATGCTACTTTGTTTGAGTTTTATCCTTCCCCCTGTTTATTATGGCATTTAAATTCCTAATTAACCGGATATTATTCTGGCACTTTCCCATCAATTTGATATAAACTGACGAATGTACAGCCTAGATGATGACTTCATCGAAAAGAAAATTTTCTCCGCTGCAATCGTCTTTTTAATAACTACCATTCACGTTTCTCTATCTGGCTTGTATAGATTAACTCCATAACCACACCAGAAATGGAAGCTCAGGACCTTCAGGTTACGAGACTAATCTGATGATTAATTCAGTCACCTTGTTCAATTCAAATGTTTCGTTAAAAAAATTATAACAACTATCGATTCGCACCATAGTGTCGAAGCCATCGATTGCCACTCGAACTCATGTAGCCAGGTGAGAGCTTACGGCGAATTGTCATCTGAAGTGGTGACGACCAGTCGTATCCGTCAGGGATGCCAGTGCATTATACCCATTTGTATTCAATTTCATCACAGATGTACTAATGGACTTAACCATAACTCACCTCAGAGACTCAGGGATTGACTTGCCACCAGGAAATAATCTCCTTGACTTAAAATATGCAGAGGATATAGTCCTTCTAGGCGAGAACGCTGACGAAATCCAGCAGAGTCTTCTGAACACCTTAAGCTGCAATCTGCGATTCACTCCCGCCAAATGCAAGATAATGTTACATGACTGGACTACACTGACTCCTAGATTAAAAGATGGGAGGTGAAGTGGTAGAGCACGTTGACCGCTTCACTTATTTGGGAAGTACAATCAGCCAACGTCAACGGGTTGATCTCTGACGAAATCTCAGCACGGATACAGAGGGCTAGTTTCGCATATGCCAGTGTACGCCGTCTGTGGCGTAGATGTGATAATTGACTATCGACCAAAGGGCGGGTGTACTGCTCATCAGTCCGCCCGTTCTCCTTTACAGCTGGCTGTGAGACCTGGCCATTGAGATTGGAAGACATCAAAAGATTAGCTGTCTTGGATCATAGGTGTCTGCGTTCTATCTCCCGTGTGAAGTGATATAATAAGGTGAGCAATATCGAGGTTAGGCGTCCGTCGAGTGCTAAGTAGGTGAGAGGAGAAATCAATCGACGAGGCTGTGAAGAAACTGCATTGAATGAGATGGTTAAGACATGTGTTATGTATACCTAGTCTAGTCATCGCCTTCCTCGACAACAGGAAATGTTAGATGACATAGGGTCAGGCTGGAAAATAGCTAGCCAGTGGTGGTCAAACCAAGACATGGCTTTATCAGTCAGCCAAATCCACAACAGTTAGTTTAAGTCAGCCAGCCAGTCACGTAGGAATGTGTAGACTTCCTGACTGACTGGCTGGTGTCCACCAGATAGTAAAAACCAGTGGTTGGAAACAATTGGTGATATGGCTCAAAATGATCGTTCTCAACGGCTGGCTGGCCGGTGCAGATGCATCCACTCATTGTGACTAATGATTTCAAATGAAACTATATTGTTCCTCGTTATTACTATTCCTTTGTCTCACACCTCTGTTTACTGTCTCTACTATGCATTTCTGCTACTTTCTTGTGTTGATTTGTGTGCTACATGGAGTGGAGTGTGGCGACTTGAACTAGTGCACATCGGTGCAAAGTTTTATGTCGAAAACAGACAGATCGATTGCCACCATAATAAGTGAGAATCTGTCCTCCCATTCAACTTGGTAGACTATAACGATCATAACTTATCGTTTACAAATAGATAGATGGTTCGTAACATCAGTGCAGACTTCCTGAATAGTTCCAAACGAGAAGGAAACAACTGTCCAGTAATTTATATATTTCAAAAGTTTTTTTAAAATGATATTGGCTCATGAAAAAAATGCATTCATCAAATACCTACAACTTTATACTTACAAATTAAACTCCATTATGATGTTATGCCTCACTCAATTTCTAATAAGCCATTCTGAATGTCTGCGTATATTGCGCCATTATATAGTAGTGTGGTGAGAGCTAGCTGTTAGCCATATTGGTGGACAGTAATTTACGTCACTGTTATGTCCCCAATATTGGTCACGAGAAAGATGAGAGCAAAGGCTTTGCGTAGGCGGATACAGTTAGCATATAGATGACCTGACATTCAAGAAACAGTCACAAAGAGATGCAAGGTTAACTTTCTGTGAGAAACCACCGATCAAAAGTCTGTGTTTTTCTGCTAACAATGATGTATAATAATGTACATGAAAATCTGTAAATGTGTTGATTTCCTTAGTAAAGGATCTGTTGCCTGGCCCTTGTCTTCTGTTGTTACAGTGGTACGATATGTGTAGAGAGTAATCGTCAGTGGTAGAATGCTTGGCAGAGCAATGTGTTAGAGGTCTGGGTTCGACTCCTTGAGGATGGTGTCCTTGAACCTCGCGGAGAATAAAAAAAATACCTGATGACAGTATTACTGAAATTCATACGTGCATTTTTGCTAGAAATAAATTCTGCTCGAATGTACGTGTGGACACACATACATAGGAAGGACTTATCGATCTCTGCAAGTAAGGGCTGGCTTCAAAGCATATTCCTAAATGGCTTCAGAAACAAATGGAATCTTCAGAACCTATTAACGGTGAGAACAGGAGACCTAGCTCTTTTATTGCGAAACATATTATAGAGACAGGACATAAAATTGACGTTAACAGATCCTTTATATCTATCTATAAAACGTGTTTGGGGCGCATCTTAAAGTTTGTGGAAGCCCTAGCAATTAGAAAGTTTAAACCACCTTTATGCGATCAAAGCAACAATTCGTCATCACATTAAACCTTCCTTGGTAAATTTTGTTTTGATATCAGCCGGGACAGATGTACTATTGTAACAACAGAAGACAAGGGCCAGACAACAGATCCTTTATTAAAGAAATCAACACATATTTATACATTTTTATTAGCAGAAAAAAAACAGACTTTTGATTGGTGGTTTCTCTCTGAACGTTAATCTATCATCTCTTTGTGGCTGTTTCTTGAATGTCAAATCATCTCTATGCTAACTGTATCCGCCTACGCAAAGTCTTTGTTTTCTCACGACCAATATTGGGGACATAAAGCTTGACGTAAAATACTGTCTATCAATTTTTGGCTAGTAGCCAGCTCTCACCACACTAATACCTCTGCTATTTGGTTTAGTGATCTTCATTGTTTTTTTCACCTTGAATATGTCCTTTTAACTTGACCTAACTTGTCTATTTTCTCACCTCCTAACTCTTTATTAATTTCATGAATATATATTCCTATGACAAGTCCGTGTGTGTGACGGATCAGATTGTTCGTAATGTGTTGTGCGCGTAAATACACATTACACACACGATTCAGACGAATTACGTCTTCTTATTACTTAGCTATTATTTTATAACCTCTACAAATTCGCGAAATACATATATTACGCAACGACTAGCCGATGCGCATCTTATCCCAAGTATCTACGCTCAAATACAACCAAGTTGGTCACGATTCCCAACGCCCCGCCCCCCCCACCGCCCTGCTAGAGGACTTCAGACAACTTCATCGCATAGGCAGGCAGTCGCTGCTAAGCGGTGAGCCTGTTAGGATTAGAATTTCAGATTTTGGTGAGCGATCAAACTTGTATAGTAATAATAACAGAAGTCAACGGTACCCCACATTTTCATTTGTCAAAAAAAAGTAATTTTACAAAAAACACAAGGCAAACGAAAAAGACAAAAAAAAAATTGCACATAGAATAACTAACTATCAATCCCTAGAATGAATGAAAAGAAAACACAGCTAGTTAGAGTTGGCTTACTCACTCACACAATTCAAAAACCCCCGCCGCCCGACACACACACACATACACACCAAATAGTATCATAACAACAATCCCAGAGAAACAACAATTAAGGGATAAAATGCAATCAATCAAGTTATTACATAATCTAATCAACATATGCCTAAGCAAAATATCACTTAGAATTAAGTGTTACCACAATGGAATGAACCACACACACACACACACACACACACACACACACACACACACTGAAAGACATCCACGGAATTTTACATACCACTATTGCTAATACTACTAATAACAATAATAGTAATAAAATCAGTAATAACAAAAAAATTATTATTAATTATAATGGCAATCACTCATTGATCTGAATGATCTGAACTCGTTCTTGTTCCACGATGATTTCGACTTTCCTGATGCTGATTATTATGATTGAGTAATAACCTCAATTGACTATCTCCATGCTTCGCCTTCCTTTCCTTGATTGTTTCACTAATAAAATGACCAATCAGTGTACAGCTGAGTAAAATACTTAAGCATAATACAGCTGTACTCAGTACACATGAATATCTCCAAAACAACGCTTGATGATGTAGCATAGCTATCAGAGAAGGCATCAACAGTTGACCAAAATAATAAGCTAATTGAATATTATATGAATGCGCGGAGAACAGATTTGAATTGATATGTGGTGTCAACAAAGTGCCTGAAAATGTTGATGACAATCCGATACCGATACCAAAACAGAAACTACCAATAAACCAAATTAAATAAGGATGACTTAGTGTGCTGGCGTTGGGTGCTGTTGAACATCTTCCTGTTGAAACAGATAGATGTGTCAAAGCAATAGCACTGATAACACAGATTAAACATCCACATAATTGTATAATAGTGATGATTGAAGGTTTCGAACTTCTAGGGAGAGAGAGAAAAATAAAGAGTATAAATAATAAGAACAATGATAATTTGCTTTATTCCAAAACAGTACTTGTGATACAGAATGGAATTCTCAGCATTTCACTACAGTATTGCGCATCCAGTTGGCACATTAACAATAAATAAAATTCTACAAAGATCATGGGTTATCTCAGTTAGTTTCGACAACAACATATTAGCATATCGGTAGCAAAGCAAAAAGTGAACAGAGTGTTTGAAGTTGTTAGAAAAGTAGATACTAGCATATTTACTGGCGTAAGCGGTAACAAGGAGGTCGAGGTATACAGAGTGTGAGAGAACGGAGAAGTGGAAAACCCCAAATGAGAAGTGACGCGTGGGTTGTCACTTCGATGGTGAAATGGAGAAGATCGTGTGTGGGGATGAGATGAGAGAATTTGGGCAATGGTGGACCCAGCCTGAAGGGGACAGTAGAAAATAGATCAAAGTGCAGATGTGCTGTTGAAGCCGTACGTTCCACTCACAGAACCCATAGGAATTATAATAATAACAATAATAATAAGTCTGTGTGGAGGTCAACAGCACTGCTCAGCATCAAAAATAAGATCCGGATTTTCAACTCCAATGTCAAGTCAGTGCTACTCACTGTAAGGATCAGAGACTTGGCACAGCACAAAGAGCATCTCAAACAAACTACTGACCTTCATTAACAGGTGTCTTCGCTCAATACTCAATATCAGATGGCCGGCCAGAAAGATAAGAGACAGAGATCTCTGGATATGCGCGAACCAACTCAGCAGGAACCAATTGTACAACAAATAGGCAGGAAGAAATGAAGGTGGATTGGCCATACTCTGAGGAAAAACCATCAAGTGAGTGACATCACTAAACAAGCCATTGCTCGAGTGGAACCCGACAGAAGGGAAGCGGCGAGTTGGTCGTCAGTGCAAGGGTGACTTGGAAGAGGTCATGTGAAGAGGAGATGGAAACATGTGGGTAGACTTTGAGCCAGGTGAAAACGCTAGCAGAGTACCGAACGCAATGGAGACTTGGGCGGCTGAAGCCCTATGTTCCGAAGGAATTAAAGGAAATAATAATAATAAAAAGACTTTTCATAGACATTATGTGATCAAATATCTTACTTGAAATGATTCCGGCGTAATTTTCTCAATGAAATTATACGTTTACAAGATGTTTGATCAGTGGAACTATTGGATGATGATGATGGCAAGGTATGCAGTAAATCTGGCCATTTTATACTGATTATCCCGTAGCGTATTAAATAGCCAACAAGATCACCAAACCAGAATACACTGGTAACAATTATTGCTAAAGTCTAAGTGTGTACATGGCAGGAGAGAGAGAAAAAACAACACAGTTAATAAAGATGAACAGTAATCATCAATACACATAGTGATTAATGTCTCATCCTTAAAAAAAATAACCTGTATGATAAAATTTTACCCTAAATAGATATACTACTGATAAACTGAAATGAGTAGCTGGATACCATCTCCAACCCTGAACCATCCAAAATCCTGAATTACAACGGCAACAATCCATTCAATAATAAACAAAAGGAATTGCATACAAACACTATTCAAGAGAGCCAACCAGCCAGGACTCATTGCAGCACTCCCACCTTAAGGAAAATTGAAGAAAAATATCTCATGGACACCACTCCTCCAAAAAATGGATATCCACGGAATTTCATCAAAAGACATACACATCCCCCCGAAGCCAACCTATCAAACCAAAAGCCCCAACCAAGGAAAGCACAAAGAAAATCGCCTTACCATATTTAAAGGATATCGCAGAAATCACTACAAGACTCTTCAAACCTTCATAAATTGACGTCGTATACAAACTAACAAAGTCACTTCACTCAGCTGGCTCTATGTCAACCAAAAGACTCAACAGCGAAAGAGGATAAACCAACATCATCTACAAAATAAACTGTAACAACTGCAAAAAACACTACACTGGCCGAAGTGGACGTCCCCTTCGTCTTCGTATCTACGATCATAAGCTAGCCGTCGAAAGACATGATATCCACTCCATCACTCATATCATTACATACAGACAGCTACGGACATCAATTCGACTGGGACAACCAAACCAACGTTCAAATATTAGACAGAAGAAATAACAAGAATGCTAGAAAATTTTTAGAAGCCTGTCTAGTATCCCAGTGAATCATCAATCAATAGACACACATCGAGATAGACAAAATTGATCAACCGATAAGAAAGAAACCACACACACAAAGGGTAAAGTTCAAGTCAGAGAAACGATCAGTTCCAATACAAGTAGCTGCCTAGAAGGTGTGAAAACACACAAAAACAACCAATCACGTCCAAGGTGGTTACCAGAAGAGATGATTAATAAACTCGTGGAGAAATCTAAAAGCTCACTCCAAATTGAAGTATGCGCAGGTCTCACAGCCAGCCATAAAGGAGGACTGCTGAGCAGTACACTCACCTGTTGGTCGTTAGCTAGCCGGATATCCGTGTCTACGGCAGAGATGGTGTAAGTTGGCGTATGCCAAATGAGCCTTCTGTATCCAGACTGAGATTTCATCAGCGATCAATCCGTTGGCGTTGGGGCTGATGCAACCTCTCAAATAAGTGAAGTGGTCAACAACAACCCACTTCACTGCCAATATTTCTAAGCTAGGAGTGAGTCAATGTAGTCTAGTCGTGTAGCGAGCACCACCTTACATTTGGTAGCAGGAGTGAATGGCATGCCAGGTGTTCATTCGCAGGTGTACACAGAAGACTCTGCATCACATGTCAGCCTCGTCACCACGTAAAAGGACTATGTTATCTGCAATAAAATTAACCTTAGGTTAATTCAAAACTTAATACACTGATAAACATTATAGGATAAATTTTGTTTTGATAAAGTCTCACAGTAATGTTATACAGTAATATTTACTGATGCCACCACGTTTCGAGCACAATTGATTGCTCATAATCGTATCAATGTAATCACACGACTTTCTAACTTCATTTATATACTTCCATTATTTTTCACTTGATTTGATTGGCAGTAGTATTTTCCATATTTCAGATATAAGTGATGAATCATTCCTATTGCATGTGTTGGGTGTAGATTCGATGAACAATGATTCAGTAATCAACCTCTCTCTCTACCTAACTAGATTACTTTTTAGAATTTTAACCCTCTCCCACTCTATTGTGTGGTTGTGTGTTAATGCATGAATTGCAGTTGCTGAGCTTTTTTCTAAATTACTTACCTTAGCTAAATTACCTTGATCTACTAGTTTGACCTATGTAATTGACTTAACTCAGTTATTGCAGGGTACTTTGTAAATAATATTATTTTGTCTAATTGGTTCAACTGGGTCCTTTAACCTACACAGCTTGCCCCTGAGTGAGTTTGTAGGTTTAAATGCCACCCTAATTCCTGCTTTATTTAGAATCCTACGTAGGGTCTCAGATGTCCCCCATCTTTATGTGGTATAACTGTAGATGACTTATATTCTCTCTTATTTATGTTTTTTGTTTTATTTACAGCTTGATACCACACCGTATTTTTGGTACAAGTATGGAATTTTTCAGCGTGCATAACGGTAGCCAAAATTCGCAGGCCGACCATAGATATGGGTGTGCGTCGGCGTGGGCTCGAACCCCGGCAATGGCATGGTAGGAGAGGATCCTAACCACTGTGCACCACACTACTAGTTTCACAATTATTTTGTATTTTTCTGAAAATTTGTTTCCATCTGACAAGACTGATAACATTTTATCCATGTAGTCTTGGCGATCCATCAGTACAATGCCAGCACCTTTGTCGGGGCGTGTCACAACCAAGTCTTTGTTCCTTAGAATCTCACGTAGTTGCATTCTGTGCTCGACTGAAATCAATCTTTTGACGTTTAGTTTCGTGTTGATGCACTGATGGCAGCTATTTAATAATACTGTAGACTTGAATTGTTCATATGATTTGTTGGACACTGCAGAAAGGTCATTTGTCTGTTGCATTGAGTGCTTCAAACTAGACTTTAATATCCAAGTCACTCGAATTCGTCGAAATATAACAGAATTTTGGACCCAACGACAAGACTTGCAATTGGATAGGAGTCAATGATATACTAGAATAGTTGAAGACGTATTTTTCTGGTTTGGCAGGAAAACGAGAGTAAGTGTCAGCGGCTTTGAGGCTATTCCCGAGTTTCAGGTTTACATCTTCACGGCGTCTTCTTGAAACTGACTCTATGTAGGTCCATGAAACTTCTCTGCTCGTCTTCTGTCAGCTCATATATACAGCATGTGTTCTTAGTGAAATATTTCTTTCTATCTCCGGTAGTCGAGATTTTATTTCGTCGATGACATTCAGTGTATGACGTTTCAAAGATCGGTGATTTTGGTGGATATGATTGCAACGGAGACATTTTCAGAAGTGCTTAGGATATTCCTTCTTATCAATACAGTTCTTCAGAAAACTGATTCTTGTATTCGCTATGGTAAGTTTAACAGAAAACTTAAGAAACGTATCAAGTTCCTTCACTGCACTGTCACAGGGTTCTCACTTTGCTGTGACCATATTTTCTGATTCCATGAATCCATGTTCAATATCCGACCGAAAGCTGCTACCTTGACGCGGTGGTCGGGCTTGAACACCGCAATGACCTAATCAAGCTATACTGGCTGAGACTTATCTCTCTTGAGGTTCTACCATGCCAGGCAGGTTGTTTGGATAGCGGTTAAAACAAAAAGCAGCTACCCCATCCAATACCATGATTCAAACAAATTCACAAAATTTCACACCGGATCGGCCGTGGCCCGGATTAACAACGACCGCGCTTCCTGCTGCCGCGTCGTCACAGGGCAGGAGTGATAAGTATGCTACTGAGGCACACCAAACAAAAGAGAACAAACAATTTCATCATTTAGGTCTTTTCTTTGTACTTTGTTCATCGAGTCTATACCCAACACATGCAATAGGAATGATTCATCACTCATACCTGAAATATGGAAAATACTACTGCCACTCCTTGTGACTTATGATCTCCAATGAAACTTTTGTTTTTCTTTATTACTCCTTTGTCTCACACCTCTGCTCACTGTTTCTATTATGCTTTTCTCGTACTTTCTTCTCTTGCTTGCTTCGCGTGCTACACGGAGTGTGGCGACTTGAACTTCCGCACATTTGTGCAAAGTTCTATGTCGAAAACAGACGGAACTGCCAATCATATTAAGTGAAAAACAATGGAAGTATATAAATGAAGTTAGAAAGTCGTGTGATTACCTTGATATGATTATGCGTGGCAATGATAAATTGTGCTCGAAACGTGGTGGCATCAGTAAATATTACTGTATAACAACACACTGTGAGACTTTATCAAAACAAAATTTTACCCATAATGTTATTATACTCTACCACTCTACCACGGTGCTCAAGTTTTATTCTTATATCAATGAAACTGATAAACAGGCAGAAACAAACAAATAAATGAAATACAAACGCATAGAAAACCATTCACTTACTGGTGACCAAAGTAGATAACGTAAAGTGAAACTAGCAACAAATCCACCATAAGTTGTCTCCAAGCCACTATTTAAAAATACCGATAATAATAACCAAAATTCAGATGGCCATTCAATTCTTGGCCAATGTGTATCAAATATTGACTTGTTAATCATAAGCATCATTTGGGTATCAATAGAGTCATCATTAGTATTATTATTATTATTACTATTGGTATTGGTATTAATGTTGTCGTTATTCTCATCACTGAAACTTGACTGTTTTGTAGATTTGAATGAAGTGTAATGAGGTGTTGGCGGATTCCCCGGCAGTATACTACCCGTACTGCTGGAATAATCATTCATCTCTGAATCAGAGCAATAATGATAATCAGGTTCTACAGCATTATTTGCATAGCCAGTCTTTCGTCGATTCCATAATTCATCTGAATCAGATTCATTTTCATCACCTGCAGAATTTATAAAAGATATACAAATAAGTTGTGTGTGTGTGTGTATGTGTGCGTGTTTATGGTTTAAAAAAAGAGGATAAAAAGAAAGAAATACCAGTATGATATATAGTAGAGGTGATGAATAAAGATGAATCAATCGACGAGGCTGTGAAGCAGTTACATCGATTGAGTGAGATGGTTAGGACATGTGTTACGCACGCATGCCTAGCCTAGTCATCGCCTACCTTGACAACAGGAAATGTTAGCTGACATAGGATTGGTGAGGCTGGAAAAGAGCTAGCATATGGAGGTCAAACCAAAACATGGCCTCATTAGTCAATGAAATCCAAAAAAGTTAGTCTAAGCCACGTAGGAAGGTGTAGACTTCCTAACTGACTGGTTGGGGTCCTCGGGACGGTAGAAACCAATGAGGGCTGGAAACAATTGGTGATATGGCTCAGATGCATCCACTCTTTGTGACTTATGATTTCCAATGAAAATATATTGTTCTTCGTTATTACTATTCCTTTGTCTCATCACACCTCTGTTTACTGTGGCTATTATACATTTCTTCAACTTTCTTCTGTTGCTTTATGTGCTACATGGAGTGAAGTGTGGCGACTTGACAATTCCGCACAAATGTGCAAAGTCCTATGTCGAAAACAATCAAAATATCTACTACAGTCCTACAGGAGGTCAATCGCGAGCTCGAATAGCTCAGTGGTAACGTCTCTGACTGCATCACTGGCTCGTGACACGGGTTCGAATCTCAGAAAAGACATGCAGTTGCAGATACGCCTTGCTGATGAGTGCCAACTAGCACGAAACCTAGGTGGTCCAAGGCTCCTTGTGGCCGATTGCCTCTAACCATCTAATATCATCAAAGATGAATACAGCTGGGTGAGGTATTTTCACTTATCGAGCTTCTCATTGAACCAGTTACCTCCTCTTTCCAGCCATACTAGAGAACATTCATTACCCAGTATAGCTGGATGATGATGGCGAGATGATGAGAACTCTTTATTCTAAGCAATATGGAGGACAGACTTCTAGCATATATCAGTTCACAAGCTTGTATGGAGGAGACTATGCGGGTCCTATCAAAACGTATTAACGAACATTACCCAGCATGGCTGAAAAGAAGAGGCACTGGTTCACAGTCAGAAGCGACATAATCATCCCTCTTGCCAACGCCGCAGGAGGTCTGGATCCGATTCCCGACCGATGCACTACTAAACCTTGCATCAATAACCAACCAGTAGTAGTAGGCCAGGAAAACAGGAATGATTGGTCATGAGGTCAGCGACCCTATTCCGTAAAAACGGCATCACCACAACTGAAACCTCACACTTTCACAAGCCATGTTCTACTCGAAAGGCGAAAGGAATGATATACTAATGTCTGTCTGTTTCCGACATAGAACTTTGCACCTATATGCAGAAGTTCAAGTCGCCACACTCCACTCCATGTACCACACAAAGCAACACAAGAAAGTAGAAATGCATATCAGAGACAGTAAACAGAGGTATGAGACAAAGGGATAGTAATAACGAAGAACAATACAGTTTCATTGGAAATCATAAGTCACAAGGAGTGGATGCATCTGCGCCAGCCATCATTGAAAACGATCACTTTGAGACATATCACCAATTGTTTCCAACCATTGGTTTTTACCATCCCGTGGACCCCTACCATTCAGTTAGGAAGTCTACACTTTCCTACGTGACTTAGACTAACTTTTGTAGATTTCATTGACTGCCATGTGCTAGCTCTTTTCTAGTCTGACCCTATATCAGCTAACATTTCCAGTTGTCGAGGGAGGCGATGACTAGGCTAGGCATATGTAACACATGTCCTAACCATCTCAGTCGATGTAATTTCACAGCCTTGTCGATTGATTTCCCCTCCCACCTCTCACCTAGCACTCAACAGACGCCTAACATCAATATTGCTCAGCCTCTTATACCCCTTTACACTGGAGATAGAACACAGGCAGGTACCTGTGATCAAGGACAGCTAGGTAGCTATCCTCTTTATGTCTTCCACTCTCAATGGCCAGGTCTCACAGCCAGCCATGAAGGAGGAAGGAGTGGACTACTGAGCAGTACGCCAGCCACTTGGTCGATAGCCACTCGGATTTCACGTCTACGCCAGAGACGGGGTAAACTGACATATGCGAAGCTAGCCTTTGTGTATCCGTACTGATACTTAGATCAACCCGTTGGCGTTGGCTGATGATACTTCCCAAATAAGTGAAGCGGTCAACGAGCTCTACCACTTTACTCCCTATTTCTAAACTTGGAGTCAGTGTAGTCCAGTCCTGTAACATCATAGGATGGTCACACTGTGTGACAAGTGGCATGAAAAATAAAATATTTTCCGACCGATAGCTGCTACCTTGGACATGGTGATGATCGAAGTTGCATATTGTAATGATCCAACGAGCTACAGTGGCTGGATCGGGTCTTACCATGTCAGCAAAGTTGCTTGGATTATACTAAATATACTATTAGCCACTCACACTGTGTTGGGGTTCTGGTGGTGAAGTCGTGTTGTTAGGGGACAGGGATATAACAGCAGTAAAATGTTCCCTTCGGACGACCAGCAAGCTAACTATGCTGTGTCTCCACTTTAAAGATGATAGGGGGGGGGGGATTAGCAGGAGGCAGACCCCGAAAATTGAACATTTCAATTTATTTTGCGACAGTGAGTGTAGCTGGTGGTGACAAGATCTCAACTAAAATGCCGATGCAGTTGTCACCTAGGCTGTCTATATTCCCACTCCTTTTGCTTCCAAGAAGAAGGAATGAACATTCACAGTGTGGGCGGTCGAGGATTAATAACTGTCCGCAAACTTTCACAAGCACATGAAGCTTTCCTGATCATCATCATCATCACCCCCACCTTCTCCTCCATCAATTTCATCATCTTCCTTCCCCCCTAATACCTTTTATACAACGTCACAGATATACTCTCCTCATTTTCTCTTAAAACACTCTGCAAGCCAGTCATCCAGCCAATGGTAGAATGCTGCTTGTCAACTACTCCGCAAGTTGTCCAGGTTCAATTTCTAGCCAACGTACACTTTTAAGCGTCGCCTATATTAATAGCCAAGGGAAAACTAGGAAAATCAAAGCCACCGCTACGGAAACCACCTTATAGCTTAAAGCTTGAAATCCCCGTCTTCCAATCAGAAGGCAAAGAAAGAAAAAAGAAGCATGCATTTAGCAAATATATCTGAAGTCTTTGTAGGGATCTGTTTGATTCTATGGAGGATTTCAACATCACCTGTCATCAGTTAGAGAACCACTGGAAAACTAGCTGGGAGTACTGGACAGTTGTTTCGTCCTAGTTCGGGACTCTTCAGCAGTATGCACCCACCGGGGTTCAAACCCAGGACCTTCTGGTTACAAGGCAAGATTATGGTGAAATCCTCTATGTCGTCAAACAAAAAAGCCCTACAAAAAACCAATACTTGAAAATTAATCTGATGCGACTGGCCCTATTCACGCAGTTAACCTGGGGTTCTAGTGGGAAGGCGTGACCAGTAGGGTACAGCAGGTCGAAGATGAGGCAGTAACTCACCGAAGAAAACATTACGAAATGGTCAAACTATGTCGTGAATTGGCAGAAGTTAGAATTCAAGAACCATTGGATCGGGTCCCGGTGACTCAATGGTCTACGAGCTCGCTAGCCTTGTAACCAGAAGGTCGTGGGTTCGAACCCCAGTGAGGTAGGTGCGTACTGATGAAGAGTCCCAAACTAGGACGGAGGAAACAGCTGTCTAGTACTCCCAGCTGGTTTTCCAGTAGTTCTCTAACTGATGTCAGCTCATAATGAAATCCTCCATACAATATATCTATAGTCCCCCCCTCCCATCTTTCCATTTTAACACTCTCTACCTACCTGATCTGTCCAGTAGCTTGGATTTAATCCCTTCCTCAGAATTATTATTATGACTACCATTGTCAGAATTCACCCGACGGATATTATTATTATTGGCTGATGCTGTCATCATCGCCTGTGGGATAGGTATCAATTCATAACCATGATCATTATGGTCATTCTCATCAAGTATTTGAAGGCCAAAAACACGTATAAATATTGATTTACACCAACTTGTCAATGGAATTGTCAATATCCATGGGATTACACTGATAATACACAATAATAAATAAACTTTTTGTATTGATTCCATCGGTTGTTGAAATGGTAGGATTAAAATATGATTCAGGTAAGATTTATCCAGCAAATGTTCAGCAATACGATGTCGTTTCCGTACAGTAGCATTCATGAAACCCACATCACTGCTTTCATTATCATCTGTGTCACCTCCAGCGATGGCAGGAGTAGTTACCGGTATCGCTGTCGTCCTCGTTGTTGGTGGTAATAAAGATGTAGGTTTATAAAATATAAAATGAATCGATGAATGATTGTTGTCTGTTGAATTCTTCGGCTTCTCTGTTATATTATAGATGTGAAATATTACTGCAGTTTCATTTTTCCCTGGAATCGTCGAACTATGACCCTGTGATAGATTCGTTTTATGATTATTATTATTATTCTTAACCGTCTCATTCATGTTCTGATGTGTAGGTATACTAGAATTCTTCACACTGGGTGCAGGTATATGATCTACTTGAAAGGAAATATGCGGCAGTGATGAATTCTGATAGTTTAAAGCATTTCCATTAACGACACCATTGTTACTATTATTATTATTACTAATTAAAGTTTTATTGATCCCATCTAAAACTGAACCACTTCCCAAGATAACAGTAGTGTTCAATAGATTTTCTTTTAACGAATCTTTTGATTGATTTGTAACACTTGACAATGGTGTTGTAGATGATGATGGTGATACCTTTTGAATAGTCGAAGATGCCGAGGTTTCATCAGCCACCTTGTCAATTTGATGCTCTTCACCGATTTTTTTCATTTTTGATGCTGCTTTACTACCATCCGCTGAAGAACTATCTTGATTCAAGTGTTTAGCATCATTAATTGATGGCTTTTTTATACTTGTAGATTGTTGGACAGGCGTTGAAGAAACATTGCTCAATGTTTTATTATTATTATTTTGTTGTTGATGGTGTTCTATTCCACCGGTGGACTTGTTCCCCTTCGATAAAGTGGAATTAATCACTATCATCAAACTTGAATTTGTATCACTTTTATCATTTTTCAAGTGTTCAAGTGTTTTAATTCTTGACGAAGTAATATTGATCATGTTTGGCGCCAAAATCGTCGTATTTGAAATATGCCGCGGGATACGAATCATTCGAGAAATTTCATTATGCTTATCTTTTGGGTTGCTGTCAATCACTCCAATTAAATGTATTTGATGATTATTAGATGCATTCTGCGCTGTTGATATTTCATTGGGAAGAAGAATTTGGATATCATGCGGAATTTGATTAGAACGTACACCCATTGATAGAATAGTCTGGGAATTTGGTTCAATAAATAAAATGATGTAAGGCGTAAAGACACAACCAAGTAGAAATATGATTGTTAAGTGTTGTGGTATACTATGAAACCAGTTTTTCTTATTCCAATGATAATAAACACAGGCTGAAAAAAAGAGTAAGAAAAGCAGAAAGGAGGGAAGGCTTTTACTGAGTTCATAACACTTATAACCAAACAGTGACTTTTATTACACAGCTTAGTTCAATAATTTGGTGATTTTTCTATTCTAACATTAGGCATTATTACAATATTCAGCGCAGTTGACTCTTTCCAACGAATTTATTATCATTTTTTTTATTATTTCCTTTAATTCCTAGAGGAACATAGGGCTTCAGCCGCCCAAGTCTCCATTACGTCCGTTTTCTGCCAACGTTTTCACCTTGCTCAAAGTCTGCCCACACGCCTTCATCTCCTCTTCACATGACCTCCTCCAAGTCACCCTTGCACTGACGACCAATTCGCCGCTTCCCATTCTGTCGGGTTCCACTCGAGCAATGGCTTGTTTAGTGATGTCACTCACTTGATGGTTTGTTTCCTCAGAGTATGGCCAATCCATCTTCATTTCTTCCTGCTTTTTTGTTGCACAATCGGTCCCTGCTTGGCTGGTTTGCTCATTGCCAGAGATCCCTGTTTCTGATCCTTTCTGACCGGCCATCTGATCTTGAGTATTGAGCGAAGACAGCTGTTGATAAAAGTCTGTAGTTTGCTTGAAGTGCTCTTTATGACGCGCCAAGTCTCTGATCCATCCGTATAGTAGCACTGACTGACTTGACATTAGAGTTGAAAATCCGGATCTTATTTTTGATTCTGAGTACTGTTGACCTCCACACAAACTTGAGAGTGATGAAAGCTTGTCTTGCTTCCCCGATCCTCGCTGCTTTGATATCCTCGTCAGTTCCGTCCGCGTGTAGTTGAAACGATGCTTCCCAGGTTGGTGGGTAGGTTAAGGAAGTTGTTTCTTTCAGGTTCCTCCAATTTATGCTGCCTGATTGTTGTCTGTTGTTGCTGCTGTTGGTGGTGTTGCCGAGGAATCTTCATAACCTCTGTTTTCTCTATGTACACCTGAAGTCCTATCTTCTCTGGATGCTTCTTCTATCGCCAACTTGTTGTTTTTCACTTGCATATCTTCCAGGTTGTGGGAAATAAGACATATATCATCGTCGGTGAAGTCCAGATCCTCCAAGTTTTTGTGTGAGTCCATTTTATGCCTGTTTCCTCATTGCCCGCTGTCCGTCGCTTTATCCAATCTACTGCAATCAGGAAAATCATTGGCGATGGTAGGTTTATTTATAATGAAGCTGTATAACCGTATACATATATATTGATTTGATGTTAGCTGATTGGAGACAATCGGCAAGAAGCCCTGTGTTGACCTAGATTTCATGCTAATATTGGCGCTAACCAGTCGCCAAGGTGTATCTGCTATCCTGATAGGAGGAACTCGTTTACCCTGTGAGATTTAAACCCTCTACACTTATCTAGGGAGCATTGTCTCAACTACACGAGGAACGGACGAAGATGTCAAATGGAGAATCGGAAAGGCGAGCGAGAAACACATTCACCATCAACCTGAAATCAATCTGGAAATCTTCGTCACTCAGCCAGCACCAACAACAAGATTCGCTCGGATTTTCAATACAAATGTGGTCAAGTCAGTCACTTCTTCTATACGGATGAGAAACTTGGCGGGTGGGTCACAAAGAATATTTCCACAATCATCAGCCTGTTGCAGACGTTACCCTTATCAACTATCAACTGTCTTCGCTGGGTCTATACTGAAGATCAGATGGCCGGGCCGAAAACAATCCCAACCAACCAGAAACTATGGGCACTAACAAACAAAACAAGAACAAACCAATCGCCAACCAACAAATATGCAGGAGAAAATGGAGATGGAAGGATTGGACACTCGCGGCTGAGGAGGCCGCCGCTGGGTGACATCGCGCGCACGTCAGGCCATTTCTCGAGTGGAACGAGGCCGAAAGGGAAGCGGCGAGTTGGTCGTCAGTGCAAGGGTGACATGGAGGAGATCGTGTGAAGAGGAATTGTTTGAAAGAGTATGGACTAACATGGATGGATGCAGGTGAGAAGTAGTGCAGAAGACAGAAGCGAGTGGAGACGTGCAGTTGAAGCCCTGTTCCACTAGGAACACAAGGGAATAATAATAATTAACCCTGAATCAGGATCAGAATCCTAGTTTGTAATGCTGAGCGATATGATTGGTCGGTTCAAAGTTACTTGACTTTGGTGTCTATTCTTTTACTGTTGCCGTCCGTGTAACTCAACACACTGAATTCATCAGAAATTATTATACCACTGTTTGTCGATAATAGCTTACCTACCTTGTAAACAAATTGTTGTAAATAAACCTTGAAGAAAGAATACTGCTAGCACCCACCAGAGGTGTTCAATAAAAATAATTAATCCATGCGATAGAATTAAACCGAACAGGCCAATATTCAATAGATTACTTGGCTTTGATGCACCACCATCTAAGTCCAATAGTACACAGCTAATTATCCAACCACCAATATAACCAACACTTCTTGATGTAAATACTAAAGCGATTTCATCTTCACGAGAACTAGACAGCTTTTCCAGGTATAGAATACTTGGTCCTATAATTCCAGTTGAAAGACCCTAGGGAGAATTAATTAATTTTTGTTAAAAACACAATGAATTGAGTAAACTTACAATCAGGAAGAAAATAATGATAAAGGCAATTTTACTTAGACACCTGATAACTGTCCAACCCCCAGCATGCGATCCCGGTGGTCTGTGTACCATGCGAGATACTTCTGAAGTTGGCATCATCATTGCCAAGATTTTCTTGAAGCCGTCTCAAATAGATGATGAATGGTTGAGGATGGCAGATCTGAAGAACAATAAACAGATAAAATAATGTAAACATAAAAGATGGAGAGACTGAAGTGATTACTGGTGCTAGACTATATATAGAACCACCGACACTATACTATATAGCACTAATGATCCCATAGAGGATCGAACTCTCTGGACCTACAGGATAGGAAGCAAGCTCTGTTGACCATTCATTCATACACCAGCAGAATACTCACCAGCCACACACACGGTCAGAGTTCGATTCCCAACCTCACCTAGCCAGTGGTTAGTCTTGACTGAATGGTTTCAACGTAGAACTTTTCACTGATGTGCAGTAGTTCGAGTTACCACTCTCCTTTTATGTACCGCACAAAGCAAGAGGGAAAAGTAGAAGAAATGCATAATAGAGACAGTAAACAGAGATATGAGGCAAAGAGAATAATAATAACGAAGAACAAAATAGCTTCATTGGAAATCATAAATCACAAGGAGTGGATGCATCTGAGCCACACATTGAGAACAATTTTGAACCACATCACCAATTGTTTCCAGCCTTCATTGGATTTTACCATACCGAGGACCCTAACCAATCAGTCAGGAAGTCTACACCTTCCTACGTGACTGGCTGGCTTAAACTAACTGTTGTGGATTTCATTGACTGATTCAGCCATGTTTTGGTTTGACCACAGTGGTAAATCCAGCAAAGTGGGAAGGTTAGATGTGAGGATAGCAGCCTCAACGCGTAAAATACGACACCACCACACTGAAAGTCTTGTATTCTCTCTACACGGGACGCAAAGGAATGGAAAATATTTTGTGCCAGACAAACAACGAAGGTGAACTAGATTCCGACGGCTTGTGTGTCAAAGTGTTTGCAAATTTCTGAAGTCTCTGTTGATGATGAAAGAAAAACTTATAGTACTTTCACTTATTAATTTATTTATTTTTACGGAGATGTGATTCACTGACATAAGCATTCGGTTTTTGCAGCCACTGCTGAGTTCAGAGTTCGAGTCCTGATCAACTTAATTCAGTCTGAGAAAGTGAGTAGCATTTGTCTGACGTCAGAGGAAAGTGTAACTCTTACTCCTGTACTTGCAAATGAATCTGTTCAAACAAATATCTACTGTTTCACAGGAAAAAGAAGAAACTGGTTTCATTTTGAGACATGCTTATCCCTTTTTAGTCTTACAGGCGGCTTTCCATCGGCTAAATGTATTCAAATTCTCAGTCGGAAAAATTCCCATCACGATGTGAAAATGAAGCCGGTTAATCCCTTTGGTTCCAAGGTGAAACATTTCACCTAATTCTTCGCAGTCCCCTTTTGAGCTGACTTCACATGATTGCCTATAAGATAGCTTTTAACTTCTTCTCACACGACCTCTTGTGTGTCCCTCTTAGATATGCGCCCAACTAGTAGTTCTCCATGTCCCTGGTTCCCCTAGAGGGCCTGCTTTGAAAATTATGTCACTCAACTATCTTCTCAGTGTGTGTCCATCCAGTCCACCTGCATTTTTCTCTCGATATTTTTGTCGGGAAGTAGGTTCCCGATTGGTTTATTGCTAAATGTGCTTGTCCTTTCCTTGCCCTGTTATCTGAAGAAAGTCTACAGTCTGTTAGAAATGCCTCTGGTGACGCGCTAATTCCACAAAAAATATTCTTTGAATATATATACTCAGTGAAAATACTGAATTACTCGTCTCTAAAATAAAACAGTTTCTTTAGCAAGATGATATATACTACTGACTGATTGATGTGAGTAGTTGGAAATCAATTAAAACAACTTGTATATTTGCTAGCCAGATCGAAGTGAATGGTATCGTTTGTTTGGAGAAGACCTCATCAGCCGTGTACCCGACTATGGACTCAGCTAATAGTGCCTAAATCAGTTCAAGTCTCTCATATTTTATAGTTAACTGATTTAGAAGACTTGCAGAATTGCTAATTACCAAAAATTTAAAACTGATGCGGTATCAGATTCCGTCTGTCCCAAAATACCTTGTGACCTGAAGAACCAGGGTTCATTCCCCTCGACCCCGGATGGGACCAGTTTTGTAGACTGCTGTGAATAGTCAGTCACAAACAATGACGAGACAAGTTATCTAATACCTCCTTCTGGTTTCCGATGATTCACTAAGTGAAATTAGTTCATAGTCAATCTTGAAATGTGCAAATGTACTAAAGAATCTAACTCAACGTTTGTAAATTATACAATTACACGTGCAAATTTAACACCAATTCATAAAAACGTTTATGTATTCAATGCTTTTACCATCATTGAACTATATTAACCCTGTATTTATTAATTTCTCCAGGCATACTCATATTCTGCGATGACGTATTGACATTTAGAATCCCAGTGGGTGCGTACTGCTGATGATTCCCGAACTAGGATGAAACACCAGCTGTCCAGTACTCCCTGGTTTTCCATAGTTCTCTAACTGATATCAATTCATGACCAACTCGTAAAAACATAACCAACCCTTACAAACCAAACTATTAAAAATTAATATGATGCTCGCTAGTGACTTGCTACAGGATGGAGTTTCCTGGAGTTATAGTGACCAGTGAGGTCCATCCAGATGTCACGTGTGAGGATTGACGTCCCACCTACGACAATGGTTGGGGTCACGCTAAATCACGAATTGGTAGAAGTTAGAATTCATGATCTGGTCATTGAATCGGGTCCCAGTGGCTGAATGGTATACGAGCAAGCTTGCCTTGTAGCCTGAAGGTCTTGGGTTCGAACCCTGGTGGTGGGTGCGTAATTCCGATGACTCCCAAACTAGGATGAAACAGTAGTTGTCCAGTACTCCCTGGTTTTCAATGGTTCTCTAAATGATACCAATCTGTGATCAACTTGTAACAACATAACTAACCCTTACAAAACGTGTGATACTCTCTAGCTGATGTTTAAGCGTGGCAACATACGCCAAAACTGAAATATCTATCAGAAATTACACTTACCAAATTTTTGATATCAATAGCGTCCACCACAGTCGGTGGCACAGTGGTTAGGATGTTCGCTGACCAAGCATATGGTCTGGGGTTCGATATCCGGCCACCAACGCACTCCTTTACCTCGCTAAGCCAGGATTAAAAAAGCTGGGAAAGAGGAAAGGTTTGGAATGAGGCTAGAAACCCCATCCTGTAAAATTAAACACCACTGCTACAGAAACTTTAAGCCTCTAGCTTGAAACCACCCTATGTTCCACTGGAACGTGAAGGAAAAAGAAAAAAGCGTTGACCACGCCGAAAAATGTAACAAAAATATTAGGATGGAAAATCGTTAGTAGATTAGTTGAGTCGATGAAAATAAATCTTCTCATGAGTTACATTCACGAAAGTGTTATTATTTCGTTCACTGCCGAAGATTATTAAATGGTCAGATAGAAAGTTTAAGAAAGCGCGACAAGGAACTCTGGCGAAAAATCATTAAACAATCCTATTGCCCAACAAATATGCACATGGAAATGAATACAATATAAAGCAAAAACAACAGTGACTTTTGCAGAATAAAATAGTACCATCACTTATTTCGTCTAATTCTCATCAGCTGTTTACAGCCCAAACACATTAGGTTCTAGTTTGGGACGAAACAGCTGTCCAGTACTCCCAGGTTTTCCACTAGTTCTCTAACCAATGTCAGCTCATGATGAAATCCTGTAACCAATCAATCAAATCCCTACAAACTAACACTTGAATATCGATGAGATGCTCACTAGCGACTTGCCCTATTCAGGTAGGTAGTTACCTGGGGTTCTAGTGAGAAGTCGTGACTAGTAGGGTACAGCAGGTTGGTTGTGAAGACAAATACTCGCCGAAGACATTGGCTAGGGGTCGCTCTATGTCGTGAATTGGCAGAAGTTAGAATTCATTGGCCATTGGATCGAGTCCCAGTGGCTTAATGGTATACGAGCTCACCTTGTAACCATAAGGTCCTCGGTTCGAACCCCAGTGGAGTGGGTGCCTAATACTGAAGAGTCCCAAACTAGGACGAAACAGCTGGCCAGTACTCCCAGGTTTTCCAGTGCTTCTCTAACTAATGTCACCTCATCTTCTTGTCTACCTCTGTGTGCTATTTGGAACGTGGCAACTCGAACTGCTGCACTTCGGTGCCAAGTTCTATGTTGAATCCAGACAGACAGACAGACCTGTAATTTTGACATACTTAAACAGAGCTCATTTAACAAAAAATCAATATTTGCACACTGCGAATAATAATAATCATAATAAATCTTTCGGCATTACGTAGTCAGATGAAAGAGAGAATGACGACACCCAGTTACCAGGGCAAGGAAAGACTGATAACTGCTTCTTTCTGAATGCATAAATCAGGTTTCAGGCGGTTGATGGAGATTGCTTCGGTTAACTTAAAGGGAATTTTACTCTTTTGTCTATTGATAATTTTGAACGACCTTGTGACTTACTATCTGATATCGGCTTGTGAGTGAGTCCCGACGACTCGGAGTCGAACCCAGACTACACATGCGTAGTTGTTGAAGAGCATTTTACCACTGAGCCATCACCCCACGGCAAAACAGTTGAGAGTAGAAAGAGCCTGCTGAACCAATGTGTCACTATTAGTCTCACTTATAAGTAAATGAGTATAGAGCTATAAATCACACACACACACACAGTTGATAAATACAATTTCATAAGCATAAAATAGTTTACGACAAAGTCTTCCTTAGGCTAATATAAAAGTCAATATTAAAGGCAGTGTAAAACATGAAGTAAGGAAAATCATATATATACATAAAACAATCGATGTGAAAGGTGAGCGGTATTGAAAGCAGTGAAAGGTGAATGTCAACAGTTAATCACTCCATGTTGATTGTGAAAAGGTATACGCACATGCGCTTGCGTGTATTTACGAATTTTACAAAACAAACAGTGTGATATAGTTTCCAACAGTGACGTGGCTCATTGGGCTTAAGCACTCAACTTTCGGTCAGTGAGTGTGAGAAGTATAATTCCAACTTTAGTCTGACCGACCGTGGAGTAACATCAGACTTCACATACACACACACACACAAAATAATTGCCGCTTACAATCTGATACCAGCTAACTATAGTTTTACAAGTATTGGTTTTGCAGGTATTTGATTCATTCTAAGACTGATCATGAACTTCTCTTAAAGTAACATCGAAAATCAGGGAGTCCTGGACGGCTGTTTCGTCCTTACTTGGGACTCTTTATCAGTGCATGAGATCGAAATCAGAACCTTAAGGTCGCTCTATACAACGCAAATTGTTCTTCCGTATTACTATTTTCCCTTAGTCAAACTTCTGTTTATACTCTCTTTTTACTCTCTTCTCGTGCTACGTGTGCTACATGGAGGGAGAATGGAAACTCGAATTGCTGCACGTCAGCACAAAGTTCTACGTTGAAACTAGTCAGTCAGTCAGAGTAATGTCTGGTAAAGGAAGAAAATAAAACAAAAAAGGATGGCAAACCTGCAGTTATAAGGGAGATATTTAGTGCACAAATATGCAACGATGAAGTCAGTGTCAAGCCATTTCTTTAACTATACTTCATTAGGTGTCAGAAAGACACCAACGGACACCAACTAAAAACTCACTGACTTCATGGATTAGTTGGTGTCTAGTTCCCATGTGACTAATTTGAGTTTTCTTCAAAACCAACCCCAACTTCAGTTAGCATAGGACATTGACGTAAACATTGAATACATCTGTGTAACACACCCCCCCCCCCCAGTCGACTCAGACGATCGTGTTTCATGGGCCTCTCTCGACTGTCTTATTCGTCTTACCTGAGACTTTATGTCTAAACTGAATCGCGAAGGCAGATGTCCTACCGAGCACACTATACCTGAGGTCTCCGTCGATTCCATACCTTTACTGAACATGTTTCACCGTCAGACAGTCTGTCTGTTTTCGACATAGAACTTTGCACCAATGTGCAGAAGTTCAAGTTGCCACACTCCATGGAGCACATAGAGCAAGAGAATAAAGTAGAAGAAATGCACAATAGAGACAGTAAACAGAAGTGTGAAACAAAGGAATAGTAATAACGAAGAACAATATAGTCTCATTAAAAATCATAAGTCACAACGAGTGGATGTGTGTGATCCAACCAGCCATTGAGAACGATCACCTTGAGACATATCAGCATTTAGGATTTAATCATGAGCTGACATCAGTTAGAGAACCACTGGAAAGCCTGGGAGTACTGGAAAGCTGTTTCGTCCTAGTTTGAAACTCTTCAGCAGTACGCACCCACCGGGATATATCAGCATTTGTTTCCAACCACTGGTTTTTACCATCCCAAGGACCCCAACCAACCAGTCAGGCAGTCTACACCTTCGTAGGTGACTGGCTTAAACTAACTACTGTGGATTTCATTGACTGGTGAAGCCATGTTTTGGTTTGACCACCATGTGCTAGCTCTTTTGCAGCCTGACCTTGTGTCAGCCAACAGTGCCCGTCAGTCGGTGATGACTAGGTTAGTCATACAAAACACATCTCCTAACCATCTCAGTCGATGTAGGTTCACAGCCTCGTCGATTGATTTCCCCTCCCACCTAACTAGAACTCGATCGGTGCCTAACCTCAATATTTCTCACCTTATTACACCTACCACTTTACACGGGGGACAGAGCGCAGGCACCTATGATTAAAGACATCTAATCTTTTCAGGTCTTCCACTGTCAGATAGTAGGACAAAGCATACTGTTGAGCCATACACATGACCACCATTAGCTAATTAGATATCTTCTCTGTTATGAGAAGTGTCACACAACAAGAGCAAAACAATTCTTTTGTAATCGTTTGTATATATATTCATCAGTTATCAAACCAAGAGGATTGAAGCAACTCCTAATTTAATTGAAATGATCTACAAACTCAACCACTTCACTCATTAAGAGTTCGATCAACAAATTACGTCTGAGGGGAATAGAAATACGTTAAACATTATTAAAATGTCATTCAAGACGTATATATAAGATTCTACGTCTCGTCAGTATCTTTACCCAACAATGTTAGGTCATTTGAGTAATCTAATTTAACAAATAGATCACTCGTGTGGTACTAATTCCCTTGTGAATCTATGCGCGAACTTAAAGAACTCAACAAGAAGTGCATGTACAGCTAGCAAAACCTTTCTGTCTATACACGATTTAACATTATTTAAGCATGAGTTTACGACTATATCTATCAATTTCATATCAGTATAGCACTGATAAAAATGATACCAAAATTATAGGTAGAGAAAAGCTTAGAAAAGTTATATGAAAACTGAAGTTATATAAGATTTACAGTTACAGTAGAACACCTAACTTTCAGCCAGTTAGTTGTACATAGTCTCGAATCCCACTTTATCTACACCAGCATATTAGAATGAGTGGTTTTAACAGCCCTTAAAAAATAAGTGTGTATGTGAGAAGACTGACAATGAAAGTCTGTACTGGGTAAATAAGTTCTAACCAACTATAACTTGTGATTACTAAACAGAACAAAGTGGCAGATCATTTAAAAGCTAAAAGGAAAACTGCCCTATACTTGTTAGTCATATCAAATTCTCCCAGTTAGCATTTTTTTCGGGCGCATTGCAAACTTTTGGGCAGACTTGGGCAAATTGCAGACTTTTAGGGACAGACTTAGGGCGCATTACAGACTTTTTGGGGCAAACTTCAGGACACTGTCCCACGTAAGTAGGTCTACCCGAAGTTTTTGCCCCAAAAAGTCTGCAATGCGCCCGAAAAAAATGCTAGCTGGGCTAGTAAAACATCGAAGATTGAAATAAGGCCAACCAGTACAAGTCAACAGTAGGTGGGGATCACCGTACACGAAATACATCCAGGATTGATGGTTTAATATCTCTTAACAAAAAAGAAGCAACCGTACACCTTATTTGCGATAGATCGGAACTGGCTACACCATCTAGCAGTATAATGATTGGCATAATTATTAGATATTATGGAACCAGCTGACAGAATATACAGAGCGAAATTGAGTATGTATGGACAGAGCACAGACGATAAGCAGAGATGTGCTTTCAAAGGATCAATAGACTTTTTGATTGAATATGTCACAGAAAGGAGATCGAAAAGGAAGTTCATCCAGTCGATTAAGGGATAAAACATACTAAAGACTAAAAATAAGCACACAATTCACACCCAAACAAAATACAAACTAAGAAAACTACTGATATTAAAACATACAACAAAATATAAAATCTTAAGATTTTATATTTTCACACAGACGTACTCATCAACAAGCAACAAGAATCATGGCAAAAAATAACAACAAGCTTTTTACCTTTTTATTGAATTGAATACAAGCCCAATTTTGTGAAGCTTGATAGTAAAGCGTTCAACGGGTGTCAGGAGAAGTCTCCAGACCAGGTTGGCCTTCGGCGGAAAACGACCTTGACTTTGAATTTGCCTGCAATTCTCCCCTATTCCTTTCCTGTTCCTATTCACTAACTTCTTGGACAAGTAAGCAGAGGGTGAACACACTTCTAATAGTCTTAAAGGGTTGATAGACCATTGTGAAGGGAGGAACTATTAAGACTGCCATCAAGATATAAATGTACACAGTCATTTCTTAGGGTTTCGAAGATGGTTTTGTTCTCACATACGCCTATTGTATAAGATGAAGTATATATTTAGCTTGTTCAGCATGCCTCGCATGATAGATATGTCGCGCTTCAGAGTTTCACAGTGTCAACTCTTAGGCTAAACACGACAACCTGAATGCTCTTTTCTAGTTTTGGACCCACGAAGATGTTTACAGAACGGTGAAATTGTCATTGACGATCCTAACAGAAATTTCATTTTCCCCAAAAGGTTCTGAAGCTGTAATTCACAAGTGACTGGCGGTCTGTCGTAGTTTCTAGGTCTTGACTTACTCGGACCTCTGGGCCAGTAAGGGTTTAAAAGAAAAGCTTTACTGCATGATATTCGTTGCTATTTCTGCACACGACGAGGATGATTTCATACTTGTCTGCATCCGTTTCCATTTTCGGACAACTTAGCAGAGTCTCCACGTCTGATTGCAGTGAAACACATCCATGGCATTCTTAATCTCAGAAAAAATTTTGAACGTTGGTATAGGAAACCACGAGGAATTTGTTGACAATAGGTGAAGTGAAAATATGTAGAACTGTAGCATGTTGCTTTGCAGTTTTTCCTGGGTATAGAGTTTGGAGTTAACTTTTACTGTTTTCCAGGAAATTTTTAGTAAATTAATTAGGCTGTTCATGATTTTTGAACTTTTCAACTCCATGAGCCATCTGGCGTGAGGAACTTTCTGCGATACTCATGAAATCTACGAAGATTGCATAAACTGATGCCTTACTATTACTAGGCTTGTCGTGTTCTTCCACTATTCGATGAGGTATATCAGGTATGAAGGTTTTTCCAGAAATTCCTTTTAAACAGCCTGTATGCCGGTACCGATATTTGTTCGAGTATTTTGGCTGCATATGTAGATGTTTTCCTTTACCCATGACCTCTCTAGTATTATTTTCACAATTGCCCATCTGCTTTGACTTAACATTTGTTATCCGTATTCGTCTTGGTTCTACTGTATCTACTGTATCGCGGTAAGTTCAACGTTTGCGTTACATTTTTACGTGATTCGTTACATAAAATTTATATTGTTGTAGTACTTGCACAAGAACTATACCACTTCCATACTTGTAACCATTAACTCTCATTTCTAATAGTTATGGTTAATCAAAGTAAAAAGCAACGAACCCAATCCCCTGTAAAACTGGTGACTAATTTAACGTCCTTGATTGCTACATCAAGCAACACATCCCCTACAAACGGCTATAATGAGTCACATAACTCACTTGTATGCCGTAAGCGTCGAGCTGAAACTGAGGATAAGACTGTACTGACAGCCAGTATTAGCACTACTCATAAAAATTCGGTACCCTCTGCTCATACAGAACTCCTCCCTTCACCTTATGTGCTTATGGAGAAACTCCAGCCATCAAGCTCTTTTTCAGTACTATCTTCAGAAATAGAACTTCTAAAGTTGTCTATAGGAGAACTTAAGGCTGAGTTAAGGGAAATAAAAAACAGTAAGTCAGTAAATGCTGGAAACATCGAAACCAATACCGAGATATCCAAATTATCAGATCAGATCAGCGATATCAGATTGCAGGTCTGTGAACTGGCACCTCTAACTATCCTCATGAAAACGGTAAACCTTAACAAGCTTGACACAGAATCGGTAACTAAGGTGGATAACCTCATTAACTTTGTTACCACAGAAGTAACAAAACGACTCGACGCAAAACTGAGTGCTATTGTCTACAACGTTCCGGACAATGAGGCACTAAAAAAGGTACAGCGCATCTTACTTAGTGAAGCGAAAATGCCTAACTCCAAGACTAAGTGCTACAGGCTGAAGAAGAGTCAACATGAAAAGTGTTGTCCTATTCGTTTTCAGTTCGAAACACCGGCAGAGACCAGAAAATTCATTCACTCCCAACACACCCTATCGCAAGCCAGGAACTACAAACATATAAAGGTCGGGGTGGACAAAACAGTCATAGAAAGGCGCGCATACAATTATCTCGCTAAGACTAATTGTGAAATAGATAATAGGACATTGCAAGAAGCCATTATTCCCAACCGTGTGAAAGACAGAGTAGACTCCACCGCATCACCCCTCTCAAAACACACAGAAAATTAACTGTCTTCAATCGCTGGTTTCTTCCATTATATATCACAATACTGGGATCATATCACTTCAAGAAACATGGCTTCATGATCTATATGATGACAATCTAGTGTATCTAAATAATTTCAAATTATTCAGACAAGATCGGTGCAGTTCCAGGAAGAAACGCGGTGGCGGTGTCGCCATCTTCATCAATTCACAATGGTGTACGTCTAATAATGTATGTTTCAAATTCTCTAGTGACAATATTGACTGTCTCACCGTTAAGTGTCGACCCAAACATTTGTCAAATTACAACTACATTTACATCTCGAACATGTATATTGCTCCTGGATGCAACTCCACAGAATTATCTTTATTTGCGGATGAATTTACTTCCCTTGCTGCCACCTCCTTCGGAAATTCCTTGTCTATAGTTACTGGTGATTTCAATTCTAGTGATCACAGCTTCCTAATTTCACTTGGACACGATAATATTGTCAACTTCCCGACCAGAATGGATAACACTCTTGATCTTGTGTTTACAAACGACGCAGGAATATTTGAAGCTCGAAAAAGAGCCCCACTACTAAATTCAGATCACTGTATCATAAGAATATTGCCCAAAGTATATGGAAAGCAGCACAAAAGGGTCTTCTCACACCTTAGAAAGAAAACACAACACAGATGTTATTCCCATGACAACATACTGAATATAAGGTCCATGTTAAAAGATACAAACTGGGATTTATTTACTGAACAAGCTCTTGATAACACAGTTGCCAACATAACACATTATCTTAATTTCTGTCTTGATGTTTGTTGTCCAAAAGAGACAATCTTCTTAAAATTCGATCGCTTCTCCTCTTCTCAACTCAAAAAGCTCCGCCGTGAAAAAGAAAGGTTGTTCAAAATGAAAAACAAATCTGGTGTTAAGAGAATGAACACTTTGATTAAGCTTGAATTACAAAGATTGAATGCTCTCTATAACCAGAAGTTTCTTTCATGTAAATCCCCATCAAACATGTAATAATAATAATAATAATAATATATATTCTCATTTTTGTACATGAGGGACGCCAGTTTACAGGCATCATCAATTCGATAAGTTACACATAATATTTATAAGCATATTTAGTAAAGATAATATAATAAGGTACATTTTTTCCTAGCTATGTAGGGTACACCAATTGTATAGGCATGCATAAATATTGTTTTAATAATAATATATTCCTTCCTGTTTATGTAGGAAAATACCTATTGTACAGGCATGGATAAGTTGTTATATAAATTGCACGTAATTTGATGTATAATGGATTTACAGTTTGGTTGTTCTTTCTGCCATTAGAGTCAGTCGGAACAGTCTGCTATAAAGTCTGTTTGTGTAGCACATAAAGAGGTATAGAAATATTGTCTTCACATTAACAAAAACCCAGACATCAGATGAATGTAATACAGATATCTGGGAAAAATAAAGCTTGAAGTCAATTCTTCTATATAACTTCGTTGTGAACAGCACCCTTGGCTTAAAGATTATTGATGTATTATGTTGAGATCAGTGATATATTTATTCCATTTTTCAGCAGTCTTATCGTAGTTTTATAACAGGAAAAAAATTGGTCGTGGGGGTGAAAACTAGATGAGGTCATGTTAAGTTGTTTTACTGCATCAAATGGTGCCGAGGTCGATTCCAGAATTCGCCATTTGCTCCATTTGTGTCTGCATGGCGGACTGTATTCGTAAGTTCAGTAAAATGTTGTAAACTATTTGAAGACCAGTTGCTTCTTCATTTCAGATCATGAATACTCATTTACAGCATGTTCGCCAGCGTCTTTAAATGGCAGAATTGGATCGTTCCTGAAATTTGATTGATTATGAGATAAATGGATTGGAATTGATCATAGCAGTTAGAATACAGTTAAACATGCAGAGAAGTAATTTGATTCAGCAACCGGTGAATTTTTTATTCTTTTTGATCTACTACGAGAATAACTGCGAACCATTCCATTCAAGATGTCGAATAAGGCATGCAGGAGTAGATCATTACCATCGAATGAATCAACTTGATCTGAGATGCAGCTTTCAGCATGTTTTCGTTATATCATAGGTATCCAGGTTTATTGGCGCTGTATAGGCAGTGATTTGGATTATGACGTATTCTACAGAGTCTCCGTGCCCATTTGAAGTATACATATGCTTTGAAAGGATTATTAAAGTTATTAAAGGAAATCACAGGTGGTAAGCAAATAATGAATGATGAGTGATTTGTATGAGACCTTGGCGGCCTATTCGAATTTTTGGGCCTGCTACCAAAATATCTACATTTTGCATCCAGTTTACTGTTTACCAGCATACATTTATCACTTAAATATGAATTCTAACAGAATCATTTACTCTCGTAACTTTTTTAATAATTTACGACCAAATGACTTTCATATTCCCAAGAAACCAAGGAGGAAACATCGTAGTGGTTGGCAGAGAGCTCTCAAACGTACACCAATACACTTAACTACGGTCCCCGTCATAATGAACTCAAACTGTCGCTCTCTGCCAAATAAGATAATGTACCTACAATCCCTGATGTCAACTGATACGTATCATAACACCGCCATAATCGCATTACAAGAAACGTGGTTGCATGAACTGTATGATGACAACCTTATCTCACTAAAGGACTTTATTTTATTTCGTCAAGACCGTCAATGTTGTAATAAGAAAAATGGTGGTGGCGTTGCAACTTTTATTCACTCCAAATGGTCTGTCTCAAATAACGTCTGCTTCACCTTCTCAAATGACTTCATTGACT